TTGATTGTGATGTTTGTACAGGACGGATCGAGCAAAACCATAGCATGTATTATTGTTCGTCCGGTTGTGATTACGGGATGCACGTTAAGTGCGTTACCGCAAAGGTGTCGGTGAATCCCCCGATGGACGAATTGGCCTTACGGGTCGAGATGTTGAATATGCGGAATCAGACGGAATTGTATAAAATGACAATGGAAAACCTGACGATGGCCGCTAGCGGATTCCATAGTCATCGTTATTACTATCGTTACTAACCGAGGTTACGCAATGCGAGTCGAATATCGGTGTTGTCGTCTTAAGCTTGTTTTAATTTACTTGTGTTGTGTGACATTGCATGTTTGTTGTTCGATCTTTACATCATTACTTCTTAATGTTTTTCTTGACATTTTAGTATTTTGTTTGCATTAACGTTGTACTTGTTAAAAATAAAACCTTTTAATTAGTATTTTAAATGGAATAATACTTCAAGTGCAACAAATGTTTGTTTTAAGGTAGTTTACAAAATGATTATCGGGTAAGTGTTAATTATGTGTCAAATACCGAGAATCTTATACAGTAAGAAGTATAGGGGTTGGTTGGTTGATTTTCCATTAACTCTAGTATGGATAAAACTGTTTATATAGATTAATCTCTTTGTATAGAGTAGGAAGGTTTTTGTCTGAAAAAAACTTGACTTCTACAATCTACATAAAGCTACCATATAATATTACTAAATAAGTCATTTTCTATATTATTAAGACACTACTAAACAGTCATGTACCCACTACAAAAATGAAGAGATCAGCGATGGAATTTTCCCTCGCTGATCCGTCGCTGATAGTCCGTCGGTCAAAAGCTCGTAGGTAATGCTATCAGCGACGGATCAACGAGTGAACCTTTCTGCGACGGATCAGCGAGAGAAACTTTCAGCAATGGATCAGCAAGGGAAACTTTCAGCGGCTGATCAGTGAGGGAAACTTTCAGCGACGGATCAACGAGGATCAGAGACAGGGAGGGACTTTTAGCGACTGATTTTCCCTCGCTAATCTGTCTCTAATGTTTATAATTTAAAAATAAATAATTTATAATTACATGATTCCTGTATTTATTTATACAAAACCTGGCCATAAAATAATAAACCAAAAATGTGAACAAATTAAAACTAAACAATTCATACAATTTAAAATATCCAATTCATACAATTTAAAATATCAAATTCATACAACTTAATGTTCAAATTCATACAATTTAACTAGCAGGAGGTGGGGGAGGGGGGGGGGGGGGGAACGTATCCTAACTGTCGCATAAACACAGGAAAATGCTCCGATAAGGCGGCTTATTTGGTTAACGTAGCAGCTTGTCTGGCCTGTTCGGTTAATGCAGCAACTTGTCTTGCCTCCAAATCTGCCCTACTCTTCCGTTCGGTCTCTAGTTCTTTCTCTACCCTTGCCAATTTCTCTCTCAACTCTGTTACCTGTAAATATTCAATATTCGACAAAATTAGTAACTTGTTCGGAATGAAAGTAATGAGAAAGTATATGACAATATAACCTATATACCTCCGTTGTGGACTCGTATGATCTCCCAGTGCTACTGCTACATCTACCCATCATATCATAAGAGGGATCCTGGGAGGTCCCGAAACCAAAGATGTGGCCCTTCCTCCGTCTTCCGACATTCTGCTCCTAAAAAGATGCCTCATCAGGGGGAGGGGTGTCGGTACTAGACTGTGACTCACCCCTAAGCGATTGAAATCGCTCATATGGTTCACCAAAACAAAAACGGGTGAGGTTATATTATAGAAATTTCAGCAACATAAAGGCTGTAAATCAAACATATCCAATGCATGTTTTTAACAATTAAAGCATTCTAATACGACCAATGGGAGTCACATTCTCAATCTATCTACTTAGCCTAACGTCTGCCTAACAATAACAGTTGAAACTAATAGCATCACTATATTTATTACAATATATTATCTTAAACCTACCAAACATATCTATAAACCGAAGTAATGGTTTTAAAAAACTTACATGATACCTAGCAACTTTGGGGTAACTGTACTGAGGATGATTGGTAGGCGGGCCGGACGAACCTTGATCGAACTTCCAGTTCGTGCAGTGAGTGCGCTCAAACACCTCAGTAGCAATCGGCTCATGACCCATTAGTTGTGCCTACGTTAAATAATTAGGTTAAGTTGTTAGTAAACATAGAGAACAAATTACATATTCAAAAAAGATTATATACTCACTATCCTGTCTCGATGTTGTGCGGTACTGATCGATCTCTCGGTGTGTCTGGACGACACCCCCTCAAACTGTGTGTTCCAATTGGCCCTATTGATCCGGGATATTCATTACCAAGGCTTGGTATGTCAAATCTGTTAAAAACAAAGCACATATATAACACGGTACAAAACACATGGCAGTTCATAAAGCTCACAATAGAGATACATACCTGGTCAATCATCTGAATCCAAAACCTCTATGAGACCCATACAGGACGGTGTAATCTAATCCGTGAGAAGTCATCACCATCCCATTGTTGAGCACCGAGATAGGCCTGTGCCACGAGTCAGGTGCAGCGCTCATCCAATTTGAGTACCTATTGTGCATGGCTTTGGTCCATAAATCACGAACCATGTCATCCATCTCTGGCTCCCACTAGAACTTAGCCTACATACACAATCTTTGTATCAGTGTAAAAACAATAACCTTATATGTATAATTACATTAAAATGGCACACCAACTCGAAAGCGCCGAAACATCAAGTTGCGGGCTTCCTGGGGGACTTCATTCCATCTATGCCACAGACCAACAAAGGAAGGCCTGAATATAGCCGTCATCTCTCGGCTAACATGGGCATCTTTAAACTTCCACAATTAAAAATATATATACAACACAAAAAACATTCATATCATTTTATTATGTTATACAAAGTCTTGTACCACATCTACTTACTCGTTGCCTAACAAAGAAAGATATGGTTGCTGGCTCGAATGATTGGGTGTCAGCATCTCATTGTTGGGGCCTCTCCCTGACTCTGAACCTATCGAAGTTGGGGCCTCCATGGCCACCTCTTGTTCATCTATATCCTGGAGGCCGGTCTCCGTGAACTCCACAATGTCATCAAGGCGCGGGTCACCACGCTTGCCACCAGAGTTGTTGCCCCTACCAGACATGGGGCTACCTCTACTACCATGACGGCCTCTACTACACTCTCGGTGTGACATCTCCTGAAAAAACAAATATTAGATTCTATCATGAAAAAAGATAATGACAAATCGCGATTATTTGTACAATTGTGAAATAAGCATACAGAAGCCAGGTTACTCATCAGAAGAATGATCAGATAACATCGGTTCATCTTCATAATTTGAATCATCATTTATGTCTTCAAATTCTGGTTCATCCTCGCTATCTTCATTGCCCGGCATATTGTCGCTATCATCGTCTGATTCGTTGCCACCTTCATCTTCATTAATATTATGGAGTACGTTTACCTCTTTTTTGGCAAGACGAACATCATCGAGCTTGTTTTCCAATGCGAATATTGTATGAGTTACCCTTTCGTTGATTTGAAAGAATTGTTCTCCATCCACATGATCATTATTTTCAGCATCGTTAATCATGTCAGACACTTCATATACACCACGAGCCTTTGTCTTGACAACCGCCCAACAATCTTTCAAATCCTTTGTCATTGAAGGATATGGAGTATAGTAGACTTGCTCTTCATGTGATGCTAGAATGAACAAGTCGTCGGATCCAAGTCTAGACTTATATTTGATATCTATCAAATTGTATTTAGGGTCAACTCTAACCCCCGAGGCAGTATTAAACCAAGTGCATTTGAACATGACAACTACTTGTCACACTGAGCCATAATACTCCACCTCTATAACATCATCTATTATTTTATAGAAGTCAGCCTCACACTCGTCATAGCAGGCCCTCCCGACACATATACCACTATTATGGGTAATTCGACCAGATCTATGGGTTACTGAAAGGAACTTGTAACCATTCACAAAGTATCACTGATGCATGGTGGCATAACGGTCTGGTCTGCGTGCTAGAGATTTTAATTGGCCTGGTCTGAATAAACCCATTTAGGCCCAATAAAACCAACTAAAGTCCAATAAAACTGAATAAAGTCCAATAAAATCAAATAAAACCTATTAAAGCCCAATAAAATCAATAAAAGCCAATAAAATGGATTAAAGCCCAATAAAATTGAATAAAGCCGATTAAGGCCCAATGAAAAAAGTCCAACAAAATGGATTAAAACCAAATAAAATCAAATAAAGCCCAATAAAACCAAACAAAGCCTAATAAAACTGAATAAAGTCCAATAAAATCGAATAAAACCCATTAAGGCCAATTAAAACAAAATAAAGTGCAATAAATGGATTAAGACCCAATAAAACCGAACAAAGCCCATTAAGACCTAATAAAACCAAACAAAAACTAATAAAACCGAATAAAGTCCAATAAATGAATTAAAGCCCAATAAAACCGAATAAAGCACATTAAGGCCTAATAAAGCTGAATAAAGCTCAATAAATGGATTATGACCCAATAAAACAAAAAAAACTCAATAAATGGATTAAGGTCCAATAAAATTGAATAAAGCGCAATAAATGGACTAAGACCCAATAAAATTTAATAAAACCCAATATGGCCCTTTCAGGCCCAATAGATCAAGACCTAATAAAACCGAATAAAACCCAATTAAACCATTTAAGGCAATAAAACGTAAATAACAAACACATACTATCTATATATTCACATATACACATACGTTTAAACATGTATACATCATCCGATACATGTATATCTTAAACAATATATACATCGATCTCAATCGTGGTTAGCAACCAATATATATATATACACACACACACATATCATGTATACATATGTATATAACACAGGCCAACGGGTATATATACGTATAACACACGCACATGTGTACATATAATACACATCGCGGTTAGCAACCAAAACATATATATACACATAACACATATACATGTATACATACGACACCTACACATAAAAATGTGTACATATAACACATAAAAAATAAGAAAAATAAGATGTTCCCTCGTTGATCAACGACAGATTAGCGTCGGATTAGCCATTCATTCGCTGATATGCGAGGGAATGGCCAAAAACGAATTCCCCCGTAGATCCCTTGCAGATCTACGAGGGATCAGCGAGGGAATGGTTCTTGGCCAATTCCTACTCTCCGACCCGAGTCTCCACATCCGGTTCTCTTCACCCGAAACCCAAGTTGGCTTTGCCAACACAACATTAGGGTCGTCCCCTTCATTCTATAGTACTGACCCCTGCCTAGGCTTGCTTTTTGGGAACCCGTCCTCACCGTGCTCATGGCCCCGCTCCCAGTTGGCCTATCAATTCTCTCGCTGATCAGCGAGGGAATTGGCAAAAAAACTGATTCCCTCATTGATCCCTCGCAGATCAACGAGGGCTCAGCGAGGGAAATGGTTTTTGGCCATTCATAATAAATTGTGACGGCAAGAAATCAGTCCTGAAACCGAACCCTGATAAGATGGATATTTCACCACATCCCCTAAGACCTCAACCACTATGCCACAACCCTTATGGTTATGACGGTAAGTATTTACCATGTAAACGTTTAATAAACCACCCCGTAATTCCTATTTGATGTAACAAAAATATTATCTTTAGCCAATATAAAATTTTTCCCCTCAATTCATGTTCAGGTTAACAATAAAACTATTCCCATTCAATGTAACAAACTTTTAAAACATCATATTTTGTATTTTTAATTAATAATCTGCTGATCTTGTAATATTTGATAATATGGATGTCAATTAGCAAGTACATTGTATCCGTTGCGGTAATCCCCTTGTAAACCTTTCACAAACCGGTATCCACGTTATCTAATGTGATGATCAATTGGTTACCGGTCAAAATAGTTACAAACTAGAATATTTAATAACTTTATTACATTATTTTTTGTGTTATTTAATAAGAACTAAACCAAATTTTATCGTATTATGGCCATGGTAACTAAAAATTTTAGAACGAAAATGCAAGTAAGATACCGCGTAATCGATTGATCAAATGCATCCTTTAATTTAAACACATTCATTCAGTAAAACAAACAGAAAACTTGCCTTCCCTAAAGAAAACAATGCACACACAGTAAGAAAGTTCAATGCTCATGAACTTGGATTAAGATTCTAGTTCTACTGTAAGAGACCTACTATCCACATCCGTCGGACTAATAACTCGATATGTTTTGTTACTTTGCTTCCTCCGACCCACTGGCGGCAGATCCATGACCATCCTTAGCACCGTCGGCACCACCACCATCCTGCATGCTGTTGCCGCCCCTCCAGACATCAGTAGGGGCTGAGGCTCTGAGGGTGGGCTCGCCATGCATAGGGCCGCCAGATATGCCGCCCATCTGTGCTTGGATACCCTGTGGGCTATTGAACTGCATAGCTGCCATTTGTGGAGGAAAACCAGAAGGTTGATGAGCCATGACAGCTTGAGGATGATGCTGCTGCTGCTGCATATAAAATCCTCCTTGCTGTTGCATCCCTAGATGTGGAACTGGGGTCATCTGCATATGTGACAAGACTCAGTGATTTTTTTCATAAGCGCTTTTATTTCAGAATGATATGGTTAGAGTTTATATACGGTAAAAGGGTATACGCCACCCTCCGATGTGCGCCCGGTCCCATGTCCATCATGGGGGAAGTAAATCACATCAGGTCAGCAGTAAGTGGTGATGCCCTGGTTTGGACCCGGGACCTCCATCATACTGCTGAGGCAACACGCAGAAACCAAGGGTCGTTTACCAACACAATTTGGGTGAGCGTTTACCGGGTAATAGTCACCACCCTCATTTACCTTATGGCATAAGATTCTCGGTCACCAACATAGCATAGTATAAGCGCTCTTACGCGGTAAACGCCAGTTGGGTAAAAGTCACCACCCTCACTTAGTAGGTAAGATTCTCCATATGCAAAATGGCACAGTAAGGGGCCGATTACTAAACGCTAACCGAGTAAGAGGTTACCAGGTCACTTACCTTACCCGGCGAACATGGCTAGTGCTTACGCGATAAGGGTTTGGTAATCAGCCCCTAAGATTGTTGGCAAAGACCATCTCTGGCCGGGTAAGAGGCGGTAAGTTTTTAGTTACCCGATAAGAGGCAGTAAATCTTCAGTAAAAAACCCCTAAATTTATATAGATGATAGATAGGACCTGAGATGAGATTGTGGGTGTTGGCGTTGGTGCCGGTGTCGGTGTTGGTGGTTGAGCATCAGCAATGGCTGCTAGATACATCAAATTCTTTTGGAGTAGAGCTTGGTACCTATAGCATACAACCAGTCTCATTTAATGAAGTCGAGTATACAGATTGATATCCTCATCATAACTGACTGTATGGTTGGATACTCACTGTGCACATTCAGCAAGCTTTCCAAGATTTTGGTTATTCATTATTGCTAATATTAATTGCTTGTTTTCGTCGAGGAACTGCAATATTCATTTAAATCGACACCAAACATCAGCATGTAATATATAAGCAAGGACAATAAGTAACCAAACCAAGCGAATCCAGCATATACCACCTGAGGTGGCGTCTGGGAAGGGTAGAGTGATGGTTTCTGTTAAGACCCCCGGCTTGTGAGATTTGTAACAGAGAGAAAAACAGATACCATAAAGATTTGAAAGCTAATTAACAGAAAGCAATAACACACAAAAGAAGCACATAGAAGACAAGTATCTCCCACCCTCTACCTCTCCAGCTCCCTACCTCCTGTCTACACTAGCTACAGATCCCCACCCCTCCTATCAGAGATCATGTCCTTGGAAATGCCTAAAGCCACCATGTCCAAAAGCAAGAACAATAAGTACGGAACATTAAAGATGATAGTATAGTGATCACATATAAGATGGCACAGCATTTGGTTGATGATCATATGATCATAAAATTAGTTGGTATAGATGAATTCATCACTCTTAGAATGTTGGAATGTGTGTTAGAACCATCTGATGAATACATAACTTTGGTTATTAGTTCCATTCAAGGGATGGGCTAGGGTTTGATTGTCCATTGCGTGTTGCCCCAATCGACATGGTTGAGTTTGATTGTCCATTGCGCGTTGCCCCAATCGACATGGTTGAGTTTGATTGTCCATTGCGCATTACCTCCAAATGATGTTGCATAAAACAAACAAAAAACAAATGCTTACGTTTAAGAAAATTTTATAGATTTGGTGCCTGTGGTATGGAGTTTATAACAGAGTTGCTTTCCAGTAGCATGAACTCTCCCTCAACAATCAATCCACTCCATCTTCACACGTCTCCGGCAACCGGTGTCATTTCCCCTCAACAACCCCTCCATTACCCACCGCCTGCTCCCATGCTCTGATGATCCCCATCACTCCCTCCCCCACCATTGCTCCAATGACCTTTCCAAGAAGCTTCCCGAGTTCTTCGAAAACCTACAGGCCACAACTTCCTTCATTAACCCCCCTGTATAGAACGACCGAAGGTGGTCAGAGTTGATCGGAAGTTCAAGAAAGGATGATAGAAATGTGTGGTGGGTGTTAGTGGGTGGAGATAGGTGGTGGATGGTGGGTTGAGGTGGCTATGCAGGTTGAGGAAGAAGGTGGTCGGAGTAGGTTGGTGTGTAGCCAGAGCAATGGTGAAGCCGGTGGTGTACAATCCGGGAAGTGTGGAATGATGGAGGTAGAAGAAGATCATGATGACTAATATTCATGTCTGGCCCTTCAAATTTTAATTCTTACATTTTGGCTCCTGAGTCATTTTTTTAAATTTCAAGTATGACATGGAATTTAGTCGGTATTTACTTCTGTCATGTCATCATTAGCATGTAATTATGTAATGCAGACCTTAAATAAATGTAAAGTTTGCTTCAGACCCTAAAATGAAAATTTGAAAGTTTGTTCCCCAAAATAGGAATCAACCCAAAGTTGGTTACATTTTCATGCAATTTTCCCTATTTAAATCCTAACAAGTAGCAAAAAAACCACTCTCAAACGTACAATGACAATGACGATTATGAGAAGATTTTTAGCATAACACCACAAATGAGGTTGCTCTCACAAATATCAATACTAGTCTAACCACTACATCATGTTGATATGTAGAAATTATTCTATATCGTTCCACTAGTTATCTACCGTGTGATTCATACAACATATTTTATTGTAAACTAAGAATGAAAAACGAATGCAGTTCCTTGTCAAAAAGAAAATCCGAAATTTATGTTTAGATAAAATAGAAATTACAGATGGTTGAGCATGTTTTGCTAATCTGAATGCCTAGTAAAAAACCAAAAAAACATATCGATATGATGTCAATTGTCAAATTAAAGATTATATATTGTTTGTTATGATTTGTTTAATTCAACATTTTATTATAATTTAAATATCTTGGATTTAAAAATAAAGATAGTTGTAAAGATGGAGTTTTTTTTTTGTCGGAAAAGATAATGACGGAATATTTTGTTGTACTAGGACTAAATGATTATCTTGTATTTGAACGTGTTTATCAGTTTGTTATCAGTTAGTTTTATGGAGTTCAGAGAACTTTAAAAAATTGTATGTATGAAGCAATTACTTGTAAACTTGAAATTTAAGGAGTTATGCATTACTAAGCAATACCTAATGCTTAATATGCTGTTTTTAAAACTTTTACCTAAATACTTTATAGTATAGTACAAATAATGTTGTACTTGAGGAGGTCACGGTTAACAAAGAAGCTCCAAGAGTTTATGGAATCTCCATGGTAACTAATTCCACAATAAGTCAACAAATTAGTCAACATGAGCCTTCTTAAAGATTATAGAAGGATAAGATTGATTAAGAATATGTAGAAATTGTTATATAGAGAAACTTGAAAGATGAAGTAATGAACGAGATGGCATAATTAGAAACCAATTTTCAAAATGCAATTGTATCACTAGTTTATAGCTTATCTTGAAAGGATTAATATATTTATATACTTAAAGAGGGTTGCATGATATGATACTCACCATTCCGAATCAATACGTAATTTAAATCTTGGTGACCACATAAATTTTCAACAACTTTAGATACTTGATACAATCTTGCTGATGAGATCAACCTATATTAGTGTGAAAGTTACCAAAATGCCTCGAATATAGTTATAGTATCTCACACAAAACGTTTCCAATTTTTGTTTGAAGTTCGAACTTACAGGACCTTATTATATTAAGCCATTATGACAGCCTTCCAAATTCAACTTTTTACAACTTAGATGATTTCTAGTACCATGTAACATTGTTATTTCATACTGCATAATTGATGTAGTTTAACCGCTAACCGCCATGTATTTGCAACCTTTCCAGATTTTTAACCTTCCTCCAAAATATAATATTCATTTCATTCGCCTACTTAAATGATGTAAGCCTGTATCAATACACAATGTTAACTTCTTTTAGCATGTCATTCTTTATCTTTCACAAATGATGCTCTAATCACCTAACTCCCAACGATAACTCTTCAGGTATTTTAAAATCTAATCCACGTGCTAGCAAAAAGGATACAGCCATAAGTACATATAGCAATCCAAGCTACTAGAACCTTTTGAGCTTCAAATGTTATAGCAAAAAATGTAATAGTGTGTGATTTTCCATTGACCCAACTAATAAACCAATCTACTCAACCATCATTAATAAGCAATATAGAAACCCTATGATCAACATGGGTTTAAACCTTGTATGTCATTTATGAGCTCATAGCTTAGCAAAAAGATCATGGCTTAATGAACTCTTAGGTAATCCTACTATTCAGAAAACATATTACTCTTACAGCGTTGCGATATGCTCCCACATGGTCATTTCTCCACACTACATATCTCAAACACAATTAGAGGTTCTCTTCTCCTCAAAGATCCACCTCACAACTCCTCCATATGCCTTCTCCAATATCATGAGCACCATATGTGGTTATATAGCTTTTGATGGGATGGCTAACCAAAATCTCACATGCATGATAAGGAATGCACACATTTACTCTCATAACTGAATGGTGATTCATAAGCTCAAAATCTCTATAATTAATATATTTTAGATGTATCTTTTGTTCTTGAAGATCAAGACTAACTTGGAGTAACATACTCTTTCTATATTCACCAAATCCTTATTTGTCTAAAGAAATTCGAAATCAAGCACTATTAAGTCATCAAAACGGCTACCAAACCAGTAGGGCCACACCTAATCAAGTTCGGATAAGGCCCAAATTCGAAGCCATTTTAGGCACCGTAAGCACGACAATCTAAGAGTCCATTAGTTGAGTGTAGTAGTCAATTCATCTCTATCTCCAATCACGTCAAAAGAATCCTACATAGTTCATTTAAATCTTTCGAGATAAAGATAAGGACACAATGCCCAAACAATATCGAGCTCTACATTCAAGCTATCTGGTTAAAAGGACAAGTAGAATTCTATGTGAGCTACAAGACAATGGCAAACAACAAATGAAGAGGACATAGTACTATTCCCCTCTCCACATCAGGTCAAAGAATTTATCTCCGAGACTAAATCCAGCTTAATCAGCAGGACAAGTCCAGGCATCGTTAACATGCAATTAGTTACCACCAGCAAGCATTAACACTAATAGGCAATATGGCGACAATACCATAACTTTCTTTAAGCTCAACAGGTTGTACTAATAGTCTTTGATTCCCATCCTTGTTTAGTTTGATTTGATTAGGACCCTAGTTGTTCCATCCTTGGAAACGGACTCATTCATTCCTATGATATACTTCACCTCTAGCTTCTATCATTGCTTTCTCCAGTTCTATTGTGGCTTAGCTAATAGTTCACCTCTTTGACAATCAAGTAGACACTCATAGCAACCATTTTTCCTTATTGTGTACAGGTTTCATACAATCATAGAATTGAATACACCATGTTTACCAACAAATAACAAGCACCCTTACTTCCTAAATCAGAAATGCAAATTCCTAAATAATTTCAACCGGGAACAACAAAAAATAATATCTTCTACATTAAAATCAGAAATAAATTCAAAAGGAGGTTGATGAATCGTCAAGAGGAAAAAAGAAACCTTCTGGATCTGGTCGGTGGTGATGTTTGTTGGAGGAAACGACGAAGACATCATCGGATTTTGAATCATCGGCTGCTTCATCTCTCTCTACCTCTCTCTTTCTGCTTCCCTTCGAAATCAAAACTTATTTCTGCAAAGCATATGTCGATCAATAAACCTAGGTCCGAGTATAGTGGCCATCTATTTCAACGTAAATGGACGGTGACGGTGACGGTGACGGTGACGGTGACGGTGACGGTGACGGTGACGGGTTAGCTAAGTTCTGAAGAATACCCCATTATACCCTTTCTCATGTTTTTTTTTCTTTTTACAATACGGTTACTATAAAAAGTCAACTAAAGATTTGGGGTTGTTTACTAGGCATTGACCAGTTAGCAATACTGACTCATCAACAGTCAGTTTGTTTACCAAATGATCAATTTGACCGACATGTTGACCGAAACTAACCGAACCGACGCCAAAATCATGCTTACCTAGGTTAGATTTTGTTTTTCCAAGTGTGCCCTTTTTTGAGATTAGGTTTATAGATCGCAGATTCAAGTCTATAACAATCAAGATCAAGAACACAAAATAATATGAATTGAGTAGGTCGGCAAATGTATTGATGAAGTTTTAGTACAGGTTCTTGATCTCTCAAATGTCTCATGTACAATCTGTTTACTCTCTCAACTAACAACTGCTATTAACTGTTCTTTCAATCTCATGAATACAGAATATGTCAAACTGCTAACAACTAACAAAACTAACAGCCTATTTATACCCACAATTACAAGGAACAAACTAAACTAGTAAAACATGTTAAAACACATTTAGCACAAGGACTTGAATACAACATTTTTAAACCCAACAATCTTCCTTTTTGGATTCAAGTCTAAAAACAACAAATTCTTCAGATCTTTAAAACTTTAGCTTTAATAGCAACGATCTTTATAATTCATTCAGAAGCTTAATTCTTCAAATTTGATCTTTCAAAGCTTTTGCAGTCTCTCCTTGAGAAAACTCCTTCTATACATGTCTTTCAGACAGTTTTCAAATCTTCAGAACTTTTACAATCTCCCAGACTTTGACAATCTTCTTTAAAGCACAATTTTGAACAATCTCAAACAATCTTCTCGAAATATTAACCATCTTCAAAAGTTTACCAACTCCCTCTAAACTTGATAAAATCTTCTTTTCAACTTTCAGCAATCTCCCCTTTATAAGAAATTACAGTTAATCTTCACATTCACTCCTCCTTAATCACAACAATACAGTGATCTTCAACAATTAGTAATAATCTTTTGAAATTTTCTTTACCACCCCAGAATTTACGCTTTTTATCCATTTTGTATCAACTCCCCCAATCTTCAGAAATGACTCATTCATTTGATAAGTACTCCCCCTTATTACGTGAATGAGGAGTGTTGACATCATACTTCGAAATGAATGATTCATGAAATTTTGCCGTCAATTCATAGAAATTACAAGCTAATCTTTTCAAATTCGCTTATTTAATCTTTTCAAATTACGAATTTTAGAAAAAGTTCCAGTTTCAACTTATGAAACTGTTTTCAATCTTTTCTGAAAAGATTGGTCTGTGAATACAACAAATATATTCAGTACAACGAATGTACTTTATATATGAGACTTCTTAGCGTTCATCTCACCAGAACTTCCATTCAATCATTGATAGCTAGAAAAAGCATATCTATGAATGTTAAGATAAAATAACAGATATTCTATAAAATTTATGCAGTGTAGAAAAGATAAATCAACTAATGCTTCAAAATGAGCTTAATAAGTTAAACAGTGTGGACTATACAAATTTATCAGACTTGATTCGTGATAAAAAAGATTTGAAGATGGGACATATATCCTTCTTTTTCAATATTAGTTAACTCCAAATGAGAAACCGATAGATAATGAGTTGCGTGCCCCAAGTGTTATTGAAACATTTATCTTTTAAGAGATAAATGAGTAGTTGGTGGGGTTTTAAACAAGGGTTGGCCTAGGTTTTGCCTTTTTCAATATTAGTCTGGAAAGAATTGAGAACTAATAGATTATGTGTTTGACCGGATTATAATAGTTGGATCAGGATTTTGATATTCTTTTAATCCTATACACAACTTTCATTTAATTCTTTTAAGCTCACATCAACTACCCCTCTCTTTTACATTTTCAGCTCAACACACAAACCCTTTTTAAGATAAGCTTACTCAATATGGTTGTCCTCTTCGGTAAGGCTATCGGTTCTGATAGTCTATAGAGGTTTATCAGATGAGCACTCAGTCCCTTCTAAGATTTTTGCATATAAGCTCAATGAAATGATGTATGCACTTAAGCTCATAAACTTGATCACAAGAGTTTGATCAGAAAATATTGCAATAAGCACATGATGAATAGTTAAAGAGTTATTCAAACAACAAATTGTATGTAGGGAGAAATGAAGAAGATCTGTAAGAACAAATTTACAGCTTAAGAATTCAAAGAATGATAAAATGTTTGTCAATGAAGAATTAATTTTCAATGTATTAGATAAAAAAATTTGGAATACAAACGAGTGTATTATCACTGAAAATGAATATTGCATTTTAGATATGTGATAGTAACAAATTGAAGAACAGCTGAATCAGATATTGAAGTTATGCATGAAGAAAAATACGCAAGTATTGATCCAATAAAATACCTAACCAGAGATAGTACTTGTCACAGACAGAATTTAAAAGAAAATCATTTAAAATCACACTTCTAAGAATAATAAAATCATTTTGAGTTCCAAAAAGTGATTTGAACATTTGAAAACATTTTAATATACCTAGAAATTGTCCTTCTTCTAAGCATATTGAGATTTAAAGTTCAAAAATATATACCTAAGGTTCAGATCGGATTGAATAACGATTGTGATGCTCCCTCTTGAATTCAGCTCATACACAAACAATTTAGAATTCTAGAGACTCCCCCTTGACATGTTCAATGGATGAACTCTTGTCTTGTGTACAAATTGGAGGATAAACATCAGTATGATTATTCTGATCTTCATACTCATCGTTAACAGCTTGAATTTCTGACATTGTAGCTTGAGTTCTGAACTGTCTTGCTCAGAAGTCACAACAAACACTGAAATACAAGTTCTAAACTGAAATGTTTAGAAGCTAGACCACTGAAGTTCGAGTTCTAGACTAAATTATCTAGAAGTCTGCAACACTGAGAACCGAGTTCTAGACTGAGTTATCTAGAAGTCTGCAACACTGAGAACCGAGTTCTGGACTGAATTATCTAGAAATCGACAAAACTGAGAACCGAGTTCTAGATTGAGTTATGTAGAAGTCTGCAACACTGGGAACCGAGTTCTAGACTGAGTTATCTAGAAATCTGCACAAAAAATCACTTTGGAACATTCAGGTTAGTATCAAACAAATTAGAAGATATAGCTTTAACGCACCATTCATACATTTTCTTCGGAATCCATTTCCAAACGAATTTTACATCAACAAATAATTGGTTCATCTTTCTTTTGAAAAACTTTCTGTGAAATATTTTTTTAGCATAAGATTTTAACATTTGAGTCAAATTGAAGATTAGAATGAATACCCAATCATTTTGCTCAATATTCTTTTTAGTCAAATCAAAATCATAAATCACCTCTGATTCAGATTCATTAAAAAAACATCAGAGTTTGAAGATTCTTCATTTTGTGAAACAGATTTTTATGAAGAGTTTAAACTTTATGTGGGATAGAATGATTCAATTTAAGAATAAGAAAATTCAAGTTCTCAAGTTGTATAACTAGAGTTTAAATCTTCATATTTCAATCCCATAGTTTTGAAATTCGGTGTTTCAAAATTTTCTTCATCTGATTTGCTCATATCACATTTTGAAGATACAGTTATTCAAATTCCGACTTGATGAAAATTTCTCGAACAGAAGGAGAGAATTTTGCAGACCCCCATTCATTAAAATCATATAAAGATTTTGGGGCCTTTTTCAAAATATCAGACTCAATAAATCCTAAACCCATTTAGGGGTTGTAAAACCTTGTGTCCTTAGGTTTATGTGTCAAAAAATTTAGAGTCTGCTCAGATTGACCTAGTTTGTAATTTATTTCTTCCAACCGTTTAACTTTATCATACAGTTTACCTCTTTCTACAAAAATCATATCAAACTTCAATTTGGTGTCAACTCTTTCACCCTCTGATTCACTCAAATTCTTTTTCAGTGAAAAAACTTGTTTTTTTCTAAATCAAATCTAAGTTGTTCTTTCGTATCTGAGTATTTCTTTTTCTTCTCTCAAACCTTCACTTAAACATTTATAACCACACCTTTCATCTCGAAATTTTAGCAATAAAGCTCTTTCACTCATAAGCCTTTGTTTTAAAACTTCAGCATTTAAGGATTCAATTTCATAAAAGAATGAAGTGAGTATCTCAGTTAGGGGTGAACACATGTTGGGTTGGGCTGTTTATGATATTTTTACAACCCAACTCAATTATACGGTTTGGGAAATCTCAACCCAACCCAGTGTAACACCCCCAAATCCATACATTGCATATAACACTTATTTTATACATAGAATACATGTTTTCCCTCATAGGTCCATAATTCAAGAGTCTATAATGTACAATACATAGATCAAAAATTTCAAAAGTACATGCTCTTGTATCCTAGCATTCAAGCTTCAAAATATAACAAAGCACATAGGAAAGTATTTCACAAAATGTTCTTGCCCTTATTATCATTACCTGCACACATATTTTTAAAAACACAAAATGAGGGTTAGACATGAATGTCTAGTGAGGTTCCCTTTTATGTAATGTAGGGTGAAGATTACCAAAACATTTATTTCAAATAATCCATCTCTTGTAGCAAAGGCTGAAAATCACATTCTGTTTTGGTCCATCGGGCCTCTGGTTCCAAACCATACTTGGAATATATTTCAAGAAACAGGACCAGAGCCCCTCTGGTCTTTTTACCAGAGCTTTTATTTCCTCGACCAGAGCCTCTGGTTGTACTAACCAGTGCTTCTGGCTCATATAATTTCTTGTAATGTTCTTGAGTTAAGCTTCCAACCAAAAAGATAATCTTTTTCACAAAAGAATGTTTATACATAGTTTTTATTCGACCAGAGCCTCTAGTTGTACTAACCAGAGCTTCTGGTTCAATAGTTATGATAAGCCAGAGCCTCTGGTTCAACG